ATTCTGACGTTTCTGTAGATACCAAACACGTCTATGTTTAACTAAAATAACTTAAGAGTAATTAAAGTAGAAAAATGGGGGTTTGGACTTAAGAGATGAATGAACCACTTGGCGGGCCCAGCTTCAGTCGCTTGTGGGCCGAATGTGGCCCGCGGGCCGCCAATTGAATAGCCCTGCTCTATATGCAATAAAATGCTCCAGTTAAAAGATGGAAAGAGCCCTTTAAAATTCATAAACCGTTTTGTTCCAGAAATTATCTGCAGGTTATCAGTTTATATTTTGTGAATGTAAATTTAGACTTACAGGGAAACACAAGAAAATAATAAACAAACAAACAAAAATATTACATATTTGAAATTAAAGAATTCAGTTGGAACTCGTTTCTGTCATGATTCAAAACGAACAAAACAATTTACTGAACAATCTAGGGAGGGCTTTTCTTATGAATATATTTTTTTTTATCATTTGATTATTTATTAAATCAACTGGAGGAAAATCATGGGTTAATAAAAGACTACATTAAGAAAGAGAAGAAACATCTTTTAACAAAATCCAAGTAAAAGATTTCTAGAAATGGAGCTCTGCAGACTCTGGCCTGACTTCCTCAGGCAGGATGTGTTACAGTGCAGGACGCTGCTAGCAAAACCTAATCACCTTTGGCTCTCATTTTATGCTGAGATGGCCACAGGGGCCCTGGATGAGAATCTTAGCCCAAATTAACTGCAGACCTGTGAAAAAGCCCCASAATGAGCGCCTGCTGCCACAGCTGATAACACTTAAATGTTATCAGAAAGCTCTCATTTTGGATGCGGCTCAACATACCTGTAGGGCATGTGCATACGTAGTCTCCAAGCATGTCAGAGCATGTAGCATTGTGTTGGCAGGGGCTGGAATCACACTCGTTGATCTCAGTCTCACACATTGATCCTGGGAAAAACCAAAGAACYCAAATTATGCKAWCAGCTGCATTTCGATTTTAGSACTAGTTTCACATACAGTATAACTCTTTGTGCTCCCTAAGCTGGTACGTTGCCAAAAGCCCACCTACAAATGCGTAACACTAACTTCTCATTAAAAAACAACCAATAATTAAGTTCTGAGCAACCAGATGAGGCAGGGGTTGCAGGTCGCTTGACAGGAATAAGTGGTTGGTTTTCAGCTGGTGCCGGTTCCACAACTTKGGGTTGGAGTGGGTGTCTCCTCGTAGTGGTTATTAATTTATACCGTCTTCTAAATAATAGACCAGCACAGACATACAGTACATAGTTTCTTCTGGACAGCAGGTGCTACACAAACTTTACGATTGATATCTTTAACAATTTACTTGCATGCATCATTATATACACAAACAATATAAAGACCTGCTGCAGAAATGAATAAAGTTGTAATTTGAAAAGTTTACACATATTTATGAACATTTTTTTAATAATTTCAAAAAATCTTTTAGATGCGGAAATTTGAATTTATGCAGAAAAATTTATAAGAGTGTATTCGTGCCAGGGAAATCCTTTAGTCCACTTGTTTGGTCCGGACCAACTAGCAGAATTTTTTTATTTTATTTTTCCTTTGGTGCGGTTTGCATTCACATTGTGCTTTTTGCAAGTGGACTATCATTTTAAAACAAAGCCATGCAGGTGTTGGTCATTGCTCCCATTGGACAGAAAAGACGGGGGCAGGCCAGAGCGCAGACCTAAAGGAGACGAGATGCTCCGCGTTCCCCCACAACGGGCTCTGTTTTTGTAGCATTAGCAACATGAAAGGGCTAATGTTAGCAATGAGGACTCGTAAGTCTAAAAAGACGCATGTTTCCTGTAATTGGTTCAGTTCGAGACCGGTCTGTATTCACACCAGAAGCGAACCACGCCGGTGTTCGTTTGGAAGAGGACCAAGACCACCTCAAAAATGTGTCTGGGTCCGGGTGTTTGGTTCGCATGAGTGTTTCCACACTTGCATAAAAGGTCCGGACCAACAGGGGAAACAAACTCTGGTCCATTTAAAGCAAATGTGTCAGGTGTGAATACACCCCAAGTCAAAATAAATAAAATAGATTGAAGGTTCCTGTTCCTAATTGTTGCTCTTATTCATTGACTAAGTCGGTAAAATTTAAATTCTGAAATAAATTAGTACAAGTGTGATTGCAGAAAGTGATCACAAAGCTTGTGGTTTAATGTACAATTCCTCAAATCAGGCAAATCTTTTCCATCACAGTGTCCTTGGGCAACACTCAAACCCTTGATATTCTTGTGTTTTTTTGTCAGTAGAATTGAACAAGGCCAAAACTAATACAATATCAAAAATAAATAGGGTTCTGGTGGTCGAAGAAATGGTATATGCAGTTCACCGTGTTGCCATGCCTTTTAATACTGGACTTTTTCTCAATTCACATATACAGATTTGTACACAAACTCATTCTTAAACATAAAAAATATGCCTAAATGTTTATCAAATGAAATGAAATTATGTCATTAAATTCCCCCCAAAAAACATACACCAAACATGACATCAGCAAAATTTATGTCATCAGTAGTTGGTTTTGTGAAAAATAAAGCTTTCTAAAATGAAAACCTAACTGGTGGGGCTTGAGTAATGGATCCTGAGTTATGATCTGTGATGGAGTACAAGGGGGCTTCTGGGCAAGGCTCGAAATTAAATTGGCCTTTCTATGCTGCATGGCTGGAAATTCCAAAAGGAGAAGTCCCAAGATGCCAGAAAATGATGAATTCTATCAGTCACTAAGAAGTGTCATGGTGTAAGAGACAATTTTCCATTACAGAAGTGGCAACAGCTCCTGAACAGAGAGAGAAAAAATCTTGTTCATGTAGTGCTATGTAAGGGCTTATGTGATTGACAGCTGAGTGTGTCAGGGTTTAAAGCTAAAATCTGAAGTTCACTATTGAGCAAAACCAGAGCGCACTGGACAGAAAAAAGGAGAATTTATGGACTGTTTAGGAAATAACAGAACAGAAGAGAAACAGTGAGTTGTAATATTTTGATCCATCAWAATAGGTCATTTCATGTATCTATATTAGTTTTTCTTCAGCGAATATTAAACTTTGAGTAGTTCACATGCAAGATTATAGATGTTTGCTTATGAAATTACAAGGTCATATAGAGCTTAGCTTAACAATGATTCAAACATTAACTACTGTTAAGAACAAATATACAGAGGATGATAGGATGTAAACTTTCACACAAGTCTGCTTGGTTAAAGTCTCAGTAGAATATGTATGGTATATTTCCATAAATGTGGCTAATATACTTAGCAAAATGTCCCCACAGAGCACCAAGTCATCAACATACAATAAAACTTTTTGCAGATGAAGGTCAAGAGCATCTATTATTACCAATAAACAATAAATGTTCTTCTGTTGAGAGACACATGACAATAATAGGGAAGTATAACAGACTTAAGATGAGTCATCATAATAAATCAACAGTTACAGTGAATTAAAGGAATTTGAAAATGTCAGGTTAAAAACACTAATGTAATCGTTAGCCATTAGGCGTGCAGCAATTTTATGCAAGTGGAAATCAACTGATAATTGCAGGTGCATATGCATATTGTAGGTGAATAAGAACAAAAAATACATTTTCAGAAAATATAACTTATTTTCCTTTTATTTTAGGAGCTGATACTTGCAGCATTAACCACTTCTGATCATGTCCCAAGCTAGCAGCTAGTTAGCAGCGTGCCAGACTTCAATTAAACACAATCAGCTGCAGGGTTTCATAATGTCAAGCAGCAGAACAATTTGTAAATGTGACTCGAGGTTAGAAAAATAAAAGTTTTTGTCAAAATGACTCACGACATTAGTATGAACGTGGCTTTGCTTTGTGAACTTCAAAAATGAAATAAAAAATGCTTTTCATTCAGTTTTGTCCAAAAAAGTACATGATAGTTTCAGTTTTGTGTCTCTAAAAGGCTGCCTCAAGGTCWTGTCTCACTACAACGTTTTAGACAACTTGTGAAAAGTTCGTCCAACAATAAAGATGTCTAAGATGAAGATGGAAAAAAAAAAAAAAAACAKCGGAAGACTTTTTTGAATTTATATACTTTAATGCTAACAATTAGATCAACTACAGTACATAACCAATACAAGTGAAATAGCCATAACAAAATTTTGATAAGTAGGCTTATGTTGTTTAAAATATCATAATGAGGCAGTGCCTTTAGGAAGAGTGAACAGGCTGAAGCAATAATGAACAACAAATACCAGTACAAATAAAAAATGTACAAAGCATTGTGAGGAGGTTTTTTTTCTTTGTTTTCCWCCATAGGAAAGTCTGAGGTCAGATATAGAACAGAGGCCTTTGAGATGTCTATGATTCAWTCTTTTGAAAAATTAATCAAAACATATGCTTGCAAACTTCAGCTTGAGCCTGAAACCTTACCACAAGTACCACAATGCTTACTATGTTACCCTGCGGACCTATGAGTCTTCTTTGTACAGTATGAAGGTCTCTGACTGAACAAATGTGCACTCGTCTTGAAAAACCAATGTGACGGGTTATTTTTGTGTTTTAAAGGAAAATCTTTGCCCGAGTTTAGCTCGTACATTTGATATCGATGTTACAACCAGAGTCCAAAAAGTTTGAATCAAACGTCTGCTCAGCTGGCATGTTAATGTCTGTGACAAAAGTTAAAAGATAAAAAAAACAAAAAAGAAAAAAGAAAACTCGTTTCCATCCCGTAATTTGGTGCTATGTTTTCAAACATGTAAGGGACTTTTGAAAATATTGTTTCTTAAGTATTTAAATATCTGAAAAGTTAAAGTTTTATTACGCAAAATTGACTTTTATAAGCTTTATATCATGTTAATGTTGTTCCATCGTTAAAASCATGCCCAGAGTGTTGTTCTGACTCATTCCTGCATGTTTGAGAAATCCTTGAATCTTCTGTGGTAGCTATTTGGAGATGCCTAAACACTTGTGGCAAAGCACCTCACTGGAACTAAGTCTGAAGTCAAGCTCCCACCCAACAGAACARCCCTACCCTGTAGCATTGCTGTAAAAAAGTGCACAAGTGGGAGTGTCAGAAACAGTAGGAGGATTTAAAGTCAAATTTATGCTACATTTTTGTAACAACTGAAGGTAACAAACTTGAACTACGGTATGTGCCTGGAAAATACACAATACTGCCCCTTTAAATCAAAACCTCAAAAGACATGCCTTTTTGTTTCTTACATACTTATCAAAGAAAAGCTGAAGATGTAGAGACAGTAAAGTCTTTAAAGTAAAAAAATGCAAAAAGAAAAATAAATACAATAACACATTTTTTGTATTACCATCTAATCAAGTTCTGTTATCTCTTGAAGGGAATCAAACAAGATACAGAGTTTTAGTTGGAACCTGCAAGGCAAACCAGCTCTTTCAGTCACCATGGAGAAATTGCATTTATTGCTTGACATTGGAAAACAGAGAGCATCATAAGAGGTTTGTGCATTTTATGGTATTTATGTGCTAACGAAAAGAAATGTAGCACAATTAAGTTAATTATTGGATGGCTCTCAGCATGAGAGTTCCACATTAAACAAACATGCAGCGCACACAGTCTTTAGGTGGAAAAAAATTGAAAGAAACCTTCTTTCAAAGCTATTCCCATTCAGCTTTTCTTCAATGTGAATTTCAAGCCTTTGTGTGTTTACTGCAGTGCTTATATTCCTCCATAAGTAAAAATTTAAATCTGAGATTTTACTTTCTTTTTACCATGAGTTTAACACAGTCAATAGATGGCAACCCAACTCCATTGCTATCACAGTTCCAGTTAACCCTCAACGCACAACTACACAGAAGACCCTTTTGCCCGATCATACAAGTGCACAAGGAGACAGAAAAGGCGCAAAAGAGAAAGCAAAGTTGTCTCACCTAAAAAACCAAGAGGACATTTGCAGATGTACTGAGGGGGAGATGAAGGCTGGCTTGTTGAAACACACGTGGCTCCATTTAAACAGCTGTCTGCTTGCATCAAGCAGGCATCTCCTACATGTTGACAAAACTCTCCAATCCACCCTGGGGCACAAACACACTGCAGAAATACTCTACATTATCTATATAATTAGTACAGTATAAATTTGTCCACACTGACCAAACGTCCTGAACAGAGCTGCATGTATTGGCACAATGAGGTCAACCTAAATCAGTGTTTTCTGTCTTGTATGCCAGAAAACTGGGATTATAATTAAACCATGACCATGAAAGTTAAATTGTTGTCTTTCAGTTTTCTTTTTTAGCTTGAAGAAATAATTTGTTTCTCAAAAAAAAAGGCTGAGGTCAATAAATCACACAAAGTCCCATGTTTTCATGAATATCAAGTAGTAGAACATAAATGTGTAATCTGCACGTTTCCTTGAGATTTCAACAAATGACTCACTATGACAGAGGAGTGAGGAGTCTTTTCAATCCCTGAAAGCATGTTTTCTACTAACTTAGATCACCACAGATTAAACAAAGAGGTCATAAAAGACATGAACAAACTGAACATTTTAGTCATTGCTCCTTCATTGTGAGTTCAAACTGGCACATTAAAAACAACAGCTGTCAAACTGTGTCAGTTTTAGTTCTATACTGTTGGTAAAGTAGTACTAAAGTAGTCAAGTAGTACTGATCTACTGTAAGCATCTACCTAAGAATGAGTTATTGTATTCACATCCAAACCCTCATTAAGACAAAATTTGAGTCATTTTTTTGTGGGCTTGGCAGTATTTCATGATGACTGAAACATTGAATTACCTACCTTATATCCACCAATTACACTCAAGCACAATCCCTCATTTAGGCAGTTGATATTGAGCAGTTGGCAGTAGTCAATTATTTCTTCACAGTTCTTCCCAGAAAAGCCACTCAGACATCTGTTTAGGGGTAGATTGGTGGGTCAGTGTGGTCAAAATCGATTCATCCGAACTCCAAGCACTAACAAGCCATACTGCACTTTTTCTACCACAAGATACAGTACATGTACAGTAGCTGTAATTTAGTTCTCCACATGATCTTGTTGTGATTTGGACTTAACTGAAATTGCGTGTGCACATTTTTCTTAGTTTGTTTGACCTGGGTTTTCTGATTTGTTCTGATACGGCAGCTCCACCCAAGTACATTTTTTCTTACAGATTATACTCCTGTCTGCTGCTTATTTTACTGACTCTACATAAAATACACTGGTATTGCAATATGGTATTATATAATGTACCGTATTTATTCGTGTATAATATGATCTCATGTATAATACGACCCCCTTTTTGGAGCTTAAAAAGCATAAATTTAATCCTCAAACAACCTCCAATTTCATACAGACTTCAAGATTTTTCAGCCTTTGCAGTCTTTATACATATCAGTAAAATGATCATTGGACTGTTCATTTTATTTTAACAACATATGTACTAAAAGGTATTTTGACAACAAATATACATCAGCTGTAGCAGCATCATGTGAATTCTGGCATTTTACACATAGTCCACCAGGATGCACCAACACAAAAGTCAGAGACCACATGAGATTTGGACCATCTTGTGGGGGAAAAGCAGATTACTTCCTACTCACGAGTGCCCCCTCTGGTGGGGAAACGTTTTTTCAGGGATACAAACGTTTTCAGAACACCGGTAGATGGCCGCCATTACAGACGAAAATGTGTTTGTTGTTGTTCGAGTAGCGGCCCAGTCACACACTAATGTCATTAGTTCGTTATCATTACTGAGGTGCAGGACTGCTTTTCCCCTTTTTTCCCCATCATGTCTCCTGCCTGGATCTGTTATTATCTCGTTCTGAAGCACGGAGGAGTGTCACAGGTAAGCTCGTTTCAACAGMTTTTTACGACGCGGTCTCATTTCCGGACTCATGCATTTTGTGAATGAAGGCGATATTTCAGTAAAAATACACAAGTTAAAATATTTATCTGAGTATGGTACTACCCCCCAACTTTATGGATGATTTTATGGATTTAATTTTACATATTATACTTGAATAAATACGGTAAGTCGTGTAGAACTATTTCATTCAGCTACAGTAAATTATTCATTTGTATCCAATCGCACAGCAGAATATTTTAATACTGACCAGCCACTTAACCCTGACATGACTCATCAATTTAAAACAGAAATAAATAAAACCGTCTCATACAAATGGTATTAACTGCTTGATGTTTCCCCAATCAGAATAACTGGTTTATTAGTGTGGGATTATTCTTCAGCTAAGACAAACGTAATGTACAAGTCAGTATTAGACCACACACGTAATGTAAGATTCAGAGAAAAGAACATACTATCTTTGTGGTTCATAATAATAGCATAAAAACAAAAAAAAATCAAAGCCCCATTTAATTAACTGTCACATCAAGTTATGTTTATTAGAAGCCACAATCACCTAAAAAGAGGATTATGTRCATTTAAATCTGGCTTTAGAGTGTTTATGTATTTGTCTCGAGTGGCTAAATGTGTTGAAAACAAAACCAGCAAAAACAAATTAATGCTCGGGTWTGTCACAGGCAAAAATATTGAGCACATATTATACTATTCTTTAGGTAGCCATTAACATCACTAAAGAGGTTTAAAGTATTCACATTTAGTACCATAAATGTCAACCCCTTTGGATGTTTACCTGTATCTTGACCCTCACAAATCCGTAATTTTCACCAAATATCCATAATACTGACATGCATAATGGGGTAAATCTGTGTAATCTGTAGTCAATCCATGCATCTTGACATGTATGCACTACTCAAGTAGAAGTACAGATACTAGGGTTTAAAAAGGCTTGAAAGTTGAAGTATCAGTAGAAATAGCAACTCAAGTAAAAGTGTAAAAGTAGTGGTTTTAAAATTAATTAAAGTATAAAAGTAAGAACAGTGTAAATAAAAAGAAAACACTTCCAAGGACAAAAGTTTAAGCTGCTCCACTGGGGTCTACAGTGCACAGCCCTACCTCCTCAAGCATTTTTCTAAAGTAAATAAGGACTATAAAATGTTGAGCAGGTCATCATTGTAAATGAGAATTMGTTCTCAACTGACTTACCTGTTAAAAATAAAAGTTTATARAATGTTGAAAAAAGTTTAGATGCACTAATCTACCTGTTTCAGATACATACACTGTACATCTCTGCCATGCTTATTTTCATACTGGGCTACATATGTCTGCTATGTCCTGCTGGAGTGTGATGTAATTTGTGTCGTACAAGTGTAATGGATTGTACAAAAAATAATATGTGAGAATGTTTTCACCCATATGGGAGGTGTCATATCTCTGGATAGATTTTTGTTGAACAATGACAAGCCTGAATGAAAACAAGTCTAAGTGAAATAGAAATGAATTACTTTTTGCATATTTAAAACGTAAGGAGTCCATATAATTTCATAAAAATGTAAGGAATATAAGTAAAAGTTTGGCTGAAATATAATTACTCGAGTAAAGTATAAATAACTAAAATTTATACTTAAAGTAAATTTTTTGTATTCATTATATTACATTTGCATCACAATGAATTCAAATGGCATCTTTGGTCCATTCACACTTGTAGTTAACCACCCACTTGTGTGCAGGTTACTGGAGATGCATGTTAATAGCAGGTGTGAACAGGACCTAAGAGACTGACCCCATTAGATAGCACTCTGTGTTTTACCTGCAAAAGTAATCCTTTCCCCTAGACAGGAAGGTAGCATTGTTCAGACACGGTGATGGGCTGCACATGCTCTGCTGCCTCCTGCAATCTGGGACCAAAGTACCATCTGCACAAACACATTCAGAGACCTGCACATAGAAAAAAAAAATCTAGGTCACTTGTCAACTTGACGGAAAAGGGGTTGGATTACACAGATGGTACTAGATAACTAAATGCAGGAGCTTTATCAATATAAATTTGTGTCTTAATCAACTACTAACAACCCCATTATAGCTTTTACTGTATTGAYAATAGAAATAAAAACTCAAAAAAAGGTTACATATTCTTTACAATAGACAGCAGCCAATGAGACATTTTATAAATGTCCCTTTCAGTTTGCTCTGCTAACTTTGAGGTGGGCTGTGGAAAATTGTTTTGCTTTTGTCAAAAAGGAAAAAAGACAAAGGTCACACAGAGAGACAATTAGAGGACTTGTGTATTTCCTCCAGAGAGCCCTCCATTCAAAACACTACCATCACGGCGAAATGTATGGGCACAATAACATTTGCAGTGAAAGGTGAAAATTGCAGCAGGCATCCAATTACAAAAAGGTTTTGATAAGAGCCATTTCAAGCTGACACTTAAATATGCACAGGGTCATTTAATCAAAATGCTAGAGAAAAGGCAGCACTCCTTCCCTTCGCTCATCATCTGCGGGAGATATTAATTGGCGCCGCGGCCCTRAGAATGAAGTCATTTGATCTTGTTTTGGGACACTATTAATTTTCATATGCCATTTCGTGTTTACGCCCCGCTGAGAGAAAACAAATAAGAAGAATGAAGCCCTCACATGCTCCCCCGCAGTGCAATTCTGTTCCCCCTGACATGAGCGCGGCGTGCAGTCCAAGTCAACTTGCGAGTCCGGACAGTGACAAACAAATCCTTTGGGGGTTTCTGCACACTGCCCACCATATCTGCATGGATTTGGGTCACACGGGGCTTTCTTCTTCTCACACGGTGGACCTACCAATAGTACAACAAAATAATATTAGCTTTATATTCAGTATAGAAGCTCCAGTGTACAAAAGTCTACCTAATGGCATTTTTACAGCTTAATCCAACACATTTGTATTTATCTTAAAGGGATCCCCGATTAGTTGTAACATTAGACTTTATTTGATAAAAAATTATTTTAACTGTAAAATGAAGACTGTAAAAA